GGAAACATTTATCATCATGATTGCTGCAGAGTGGCAGGTGGTGTTATCAATTACGTCTTCTTACCAATAATAATATTAGTATGGTAATATCTTTGCTCACGTGAGAACGGATTACTGGTCAGTTGTTGCAGCTTTAAGCAGAAGAAAATCTTGTTGGATTTAACCCCAGGGTCCTCAAACAGAAGTTGTGGTGCGGAAAGAAGGTGGGAAGATGATACTTCAGCCTGCCAGGAGGAGTAGGAGATGACAGAAAATAAAGCCCAAATAATTACAGGCCCCTTCGAATAAAGTTGCTGAGCAAAATAATAACTTTAAAAGACGGTAGATGGATTGCACTAAACGTCAGATCCATCTTATCCACACGTTGGTAACTTTGACGGGTTTAAGAACAACCTTGTATAAAGCATAAGTGTAGACAGAACTACTTATATGCTCTTTGTACAGTCAATCTTGTAGATAAGCTTTCTGATGGCTTTTATGAACTCCGAATAAGGATAAAATTTAAAGCAAACGCATAACTAGGTGTCGCATGAATGGAAAAAATAACTGGTTGGTAAATGATATTATTAAGCAGGCAGAATAATAACGTGTCGCTTCTGACAATGAAAGCAACATTGCAAAAGAAGAAGACGATTAACAAATTAGATTTAATTAGGGAGAGGAAAAAACACTTTTGTTTCCCATCACTAGTAAAGTATTTCGGTGGACCCAGCAGTCACGGCGAGGGGGAAGCGAGCGGGCGCTGTTTGAGCCGGAAGAAGCGTGACTGCCAGCCCCGCAACCGCGCTCCCTGCTCGCCTGCGCGCCCCTACCTGTGCGGGTGCGCACAGATTTACGCGGCTAAGAGATCCCATCCCCTCCCCCCGCGCCACCCCCAACTGCAGTGGTCGTGCTTTTTCGCAGCCCAGCTTCAGCGAACGCATCATTACATTTCTTTTTCGCCCTAGACTCCAGAAGATTAATTAAAAGGTCCGTGGAAAACTTTGCGGTGTAATGGGGAGCGAGGGAGCAGGAAGGGACCGGAGGAGACGCATATCGCTTCGTAACTTTCCACTCGCCTCCCGAGCCCGCTACACTGACAGGTTTTCCACTCAGGTCGTGTAGTAAGACTCCCCCGGCGATGTGCGCCGTCGCTGGCGGTGCGACCCGGCGGTGCCTGAAGGAGCCGGGGCTCCGCAGCGCTTCTCCGGCGGGGGGCAGCGGCCGCCCCGCTCCGCGTCCGGGGCACTCCGGCACTCGGTAACCACCGCGCAGAGCTGCCGGCTCGCTCTCCCAGAGAAAAAGTAGGAATGCGAGCGGCATTAGGGAAAAGAAAACCATAAAATGTATCACTTGTAACCCTAGAATATGTTAATGTCAAGAGATACAAATCTGGTAATTATGCCTTTCTTGCCTATAGTGTTCTCCATTGTTCATTAAATATTAAAGACGGGATTATTTAATTTTCCACTTAAAGATTCTCTCACATTCCGCAAAATCATTTTAATTTTCAGTCATTTTGATTTTACAAAGGACAAAGTTTTTGGTTTATAACGCTGCCAATGAGCTGCCTTTGTTTTCCTCCCCTCACATCGCACTTTTAAACGTTCTTCTAGAAATCGTCTGCTGCTGAGGGAACTACGAGGCACCGAGCAATAGAAAACGCCAAAGTTTTGAGGGATAGGTGGTGAGGGGGGTGGGGAATGTTACCTCACCAACAGCAACAAATCTTTTCAACAGATGACTGGATGAAAACTGACACATTTATTTCAGATACTACAGCAATTGCGGGGGAAAATGCCTGGACGAGGGGAAAGTGCGTTCTCACTCATTCCCGGCAAATATCTCAGCCAAAGAGAGCACTAGCTAAGCCTCCTCACCTATAAAAATCGGGAAAAATGTCCCTCTCTGTTTTTGAAGAGGAAGCCCCAACTCCAGCTCCCTACTCACGGCCGCGGTGCTGCGGGTTACTTGAACGCCCGCAGATGCTTGCTTTCACCTGCACTCTGCTTGTAATGCAGCACATACACACAGACGCTCAATGTGTTATTCGTGTGAGTTGGGTGCAATAAATCCCTATTTCTGTCAGAAAAAAACCCATGCTCAATTAGTGGACTCATCCCCTCCCACTTCATATAAGAAGATTCCATCATATTTCAATCTTCACCAGGTATTTTAAACTAAACACTGTTAGTACGACAAAACTTTCAGCAAGGAAGGATGCACGGGAAGGAGATGCACTAGAATTTCTAGTCAGTAAACGAGTTTTATAATTGTGAAGCAGGCAGTCATAGCATGGAGTGTCGTGTACACATCTCGCCAAACGACAGACAAAAAAGTACAGTCGTCTGTACTTTTTGGTATTCCAAAAAGCATTGATCTGGCGTTTCGGTGTTCTCTCCCTTAGGGGTTGTGCCCGTTTCTAACGAATACCTGCCTCACAGAAGTCGCGGATGTTGTGCGTGTCCGCAAACTATCCAGAGTGGCCTAAACTGTCCCCTCTAACTTTATTTGGTTTGCCCACCAACATAAAAGCGGGGAATAAACCGAAAGCCCAGAGACAGGGTATCAGAGCTCACGAGATAAAGGGAGCTATCAGCAGGGAAAGTTTACACAGAGAAGGCTCCCAAAGAAGCCGGGGTTAGTGTGTTTTAAGGACTAGGGCTGGATTACACGGGCTGGGGTGGGGATATTAGGAGAAAATCCCTTTCACTGATCCCCGGCCCCATGCGCGGAGCTGACCGCCTCCCTCCCGCGGCCGGCAAGGTGGGCTGCGCCTCCGCGCCCCTGCGAGGGCCGGCGCCGGGCCACTCCGCCGAGCGCGGCACGGGGCGGGGGTCGGCGGGGCCGGACTGCGAATATTAGAAGAAAAAAGAAAAAAGAAAAAGAAAAAAAAAAAGAAAAATAAAAAAAAAAAGAAAGAAAAAAAGGACAACAAAACGGTGGAGGGGACCGCAGGAGCCGCTGAAAGACTCCTCCCCGCCCCGAAAGCACACATGCACAGCGCGGCGCGGAGCTGCCCGACAGGACAGTGCGCACGCTGCGGGCCCCTGCGCGGTGCGGCGCCTCGGCAATCGGCGACGGTGGGGTACATCCTAGCGGCGGCTGGCTGCCATGGGAGCGGGCTGGCTGCACTCCGCGCCCGCCCCGGCCCAGGGGGAGGCGGGCAGGGACGGCCACGGGAAGCGGCAACTTGTGGCAGCGGCCGGGGAGACGGAGCTGCTGCGCGGTGGAGGGGCCGCCCGCCTCCCTGGGGGACGGACGGGGCGGGAGGGACGCGAGTCGGCGGGACGGGGCGGAGGAGGCTCGGCCCGGCTCCCCGGCAACTTGAAATGCGATAAGAGTGGAAAGCGGGGGGTGGGGGGAGAGGGAAGTCTCTCCCCATCCACCCCCCCTCACTTTTACAAAAAAGGGGGGGCCTGGGAGAAAAGCCGCTGTTGGGAAAGTGCGTACGGAGAGGGAGGCTCGGCGGCGGCGGGGAGCGGATCCTGCTGCGGGGCTGGGGGCAGCCCCGGCGGCAGCCCCGGCAGCGCAGCACGGGAGGCGGAGGAGGAGGAGGAGAGTAGGAGGAGCTGCCGTGTGACCCTCTCCGCTCCCAAACTTGAAAGTTTATCTGCCCGAAATCAAGAACGTCCGCGGTGCGCTGAGCGCTCCTTGGCACGGAGCGGAGGCAAGCGACCGGTGGAGCCTCCGCGCAGGGAGCAGCTGGCGGCGCCGCTGAGAACGAGGCAAGGCAGGGGAGGGGGGATCACCCGGCGACAACAACAGCCACCCCCACCCCCCAAAACTGGGAGACGATCCATACTATTTGCTGGAGACCAAGGGCTTGCTCATCGGCGCACACGCGAGCCCGCTGTCATTAGCTAATAGGACACACGGCTGAGCCGAGGGGGTGGGTGGGCGGAAGGGTGAGGAGTGTCACAAAAAGTCATTACAACCTGAGAGAGAGAGGGAGAAAGAAAAAAACTTCCTACCAATGGACAACAGGAAGTGACCACCACCACCAACGGGGAGTCTCTGCTTGGAGAAAGAAGCTGCAAGACAAAGAAGAAGGAAGGAGAGGTGAAAGACAAAACTGCCCAAGGTCTTCTGCGTGTGCGTGCGTGCGCTTTCGAGAGCGGAGAGAACAAAAGTCAGCCGTGAAGGGGACACAGAAAGAGCGACGGGAAAGGAGACAGGATGGAGGAAGAACTGAAGAGAAGCATGTGAAGATCAAGGCGAAAGAGCATCACAACGCCGAAAAAGAAAGCACAGCGAAAAGGAAAAGGCATGCACAAAAGTTTCTTTTCTTCCTGGGAAGAAATTACTCACACACAGAAATCAGATGCTTTGCAGCTCAACTTCTGGGGAAAGCGAGACCGAGAGCAGAGGACGCAGAGTGATGTGAAGAAAGAAAAGGGGGGGGAAAAAAGCAGAGAGCAGAAAGCAGAGCAAAAGAAACTGAGAGACGGGGGGAAAGAAAGCACGACAGACAGAAAAGCGAAGATCGTGACCTTTCCCAACAAGTGAACCTTGCACATATGTTGTGTAAAGTGTGTGCAAAACAGATTCCCTCCTGCGTGGTGCGTGTGTGCTTCTCTGCTGCCGCCTCTGCTGCCGCTGCCGCGGCCACCGACGCGGTCGGTGCCTCTCGCAGGCGGCGCTGCCGGTGCCGGGGAGACGCATCATTTGGCGGAGCGAAGCGGCTAATTGCGGAGCCCCGTCCTTCATTTACATATGCAGCCTGAGTCCGCTGGAGCCGCGCCAATCCGCGCTCGCCCCCAGCACCATTAATCGCCATGCATTATTCACAATCATAATTACTGAGCCCCATGCGCGCTGCGCGCAGCCGCCCCAGCCCGCCGCCCCGCGCACACCCCGCCGCCCCGCGCACACCCCGCTCCGTTCATCCCCCGCTCGCTCACCCGCTCACCCGCGCACTCACTCACTCACTCCCAGTTTGGCTGGCTGGTTAGCCTTGCCTTTTTTTTTTTTTTTTTTTTTTTTTTTTTCCGGGGTGTTGTTTGCTTTTTTTTTTTTTTTTTTTGTTTGTTTTGCAACTTTACTTTTATTTTTGAACAGTTGTTTGCAGTCCCCAAGCCCCCTTCCTTCGTTCCCAGTTCCTTCCCCCCTCCTTGCCACCTCCACGTCGCTGATGCCTCTGCAAAAATCAGAGTCAAGACGGCTCAGTTAGCAGCATGTCTCGTCGAAAGCAAGCGAAACCCCAGCATCTCAAATCGGACGAAGAGCTGCAAGCAGAGGTAGTTTCTGAGCACGGTAAGGGCTCCCGTCGCCTCTTTCTGCTTCTCTCTCTCTCTCTTTTTGTGAGTGTGTTTCGGATGGAGATAGGTGAATTTATGGTGATGGTGAACATAGGAGCGCAATTACTCTGCAGCGGGAGGATGGGAATTAGAGCAGCCGGGGGAAGAGGCAGCGGAACTAAGAAGTTCGCAGTTTAGCCAAGTTTCTGCAGCCCACCCTCTGCCTTAACCAGCCCTCCCAGCAGCAACCTCCCGGCCTTCCCAGCGCTTTGATCGTGGCTGGGCTCGGCGGCGGGGCTCGGCCCTCCCTCCCCACTCACCCGGGCTGGAGCAGCTGCAGGAACGGGCGCCCCGGAGCAGCGCCTGCCTCCCCTCCTCCTCCTCTCCGCTGCGCTCCTTCTCTCTGTGTTATTGGGTATCCTCTTTTCTCCCGCTCCTGCTCCCTCCTGGCGGAGGCTCGGGGCGGACAGAAGCCATGTTCCGCTCGCCCCGCTGGCGGCAGGAAAGTTGGGCCGGCCGGGGCCGGGATGCCCTGCCCGGGGCCGAGGGAAGTCCCGCGGGCCGTGGCTGCCGGGCCCCGGGGCAGCCCCACGGCGGCCGCTGCCTGGGGATGCCCCCGTGGCCCCGGGTCGCCCGTCCAGGCTGCGAGGGCTGCCCGGCCGCTCCCCCCGTTCGCCCTGAGGGACCGGGGGGGACCCTGGTAGGAGCGGCCGGGGCCGCTCGGGTGCGCGGGGCCACAGGAGTTGGTTTCATTATTTTCGAGAGGATTCAACAGCAGCTTTTAGCCTTCCCCCCTGCGTTGCCTTCCGCCCTTCCCCTCCCGACTCTGCTGCGACTGTAATTATTATCAGTGGTAGGTGACACGGAGTGCCACCACCGCCACCAGCCCCTGTCGCGCCGGCTGTAAGCAGTGGGAGAGGGTTATTTTCTCGCCCATCCGCCATTCCTCGCTTCCTCCCCACACGCAGGCACACGCACACTTGCTTCTATGCATCTGGTCTGCCAGGCTGCTAGTGAACAAGTGTCCAAAGCTGGAGAGATTTGGACTATAGGACTGTAATCCTGCTTTATTTCCACTTTGCTGTAATTTTGTTTTCAGGAATAGGGCTGCACGGTTTTCTTCTTCCTTTTTCCTTTTTTTTAATTTTTTTATTTTTATTTTTTTATTTTTTAATTTCCTCAGTAGTCCCTGGCACTGCAGCATGCAAAGGCACACCACAGCCCATGCTCTCTTGTCCTGGACTAAGATGAGAGCTTCCACTTGAAAGTTTTTTCTTTTCCTCTTTGCATAGAGCCCGCTGATTTCTTAGTTTCTTGTATAACCAAGTGGGATCCCAAATGTTTTCTGCTTTCTGTGTAGGCCCCTTTATCTCCTCTCTCTTCCCCTTTGAAAAGGAAAACAAAAAAGTCCTTCTCCTGCTTTAAAACTATAATTACTCTTAAGTTGCATCTGTGGGGAGAGAAAGGCAGCAACGTTGAAGCTTGAGGAGGATTTTTACTATTGTATCTGAACTTTACAGCCCTGAAGCTTAAGGCAGCATGAATCCACTTCATAAGGTTAAAACATCTGTCAGACTGGCAAATTGTTAAGCCTCCCACTCCTTCTCAGGGTGTTTGGGGAGGCAAGGAGCAAGTCCCACACTGTCCAAAGTTGCTAAGGGGGTTCCTGCCACTGCTCCAGGAAAATCCACTTGGGTGTTGACAATAACAGGCACACAGAGAAATGCTTCCTTCTGTCACAGTGGAGGAGAAAAGCAGTGCATTTTCAATTTTTTTTTTCCCTTCAGAAGCTGTGGTCGTGTAAAAGAAATTAATATAGACAAGCAGATGAGAATTAGTATTTTATTATGAAAGCAAGATTTGTTGAGCCCATCTCTGCTGGGTTGGGCTCTAGGTCTAAGAATTTATCATTAGCATTATAAACTTTTATATGCTCTGAATCCATTTCAATAAAGGAAAATAAAACCCCACTACTTCATTATGACACTCCTGGTGAGTTAATAAATTGAAAAAAATTGTTAAACTAGGTTTTTGTTTTGTTTTGTGAATCTTATCTATGTAGCCATGTCACCCGAGATTAGAACAAGAGATATGCTAAAAAGAAACGCTTGCATATGGTGGGTAGATTAAGGACAAAGAATCTTTTTGTCATGGAAATGGGTTTTTTTTCCCCCCTTTTTGGGGGGGTTTTGTTTTGTTTACTTCATCACATAGAATTTCTCACACTTGGTTTGTTTTGTATTGCCCTCAATGACTACATGATCAAATGAATGGATTTATTTCTGCCGAATGAGAAAGACAGTCTTTCCATCAAAAGGACTACATTGCATCCCAGTGAGGAATTTTAAAGCGTTATTATTGTGGTTCCTGAATAGCACAAAATCGGCTTTCACAGCAGCCCTAAAATGCAACAATGTAAAAATACTTTTCAGCCTTAGAAGGCTGTTATCAAAATGTACTATGTTTCCTTCTATTAAAACATATTTTAATTAATAGAGTGAAACCCTTGATGGCTAAGAATTAACAAGCTAAAGTTGGGTTTGCACTTTCATTTGAGAAATGTGAACAAGGTGGAAACAGGCTACAGGAGCAGAGGGCTATCTAGTGCACATTAGTGTAATGTAAATCATTTACACATTACATTAGGAAGCCTAACGATTACCATACTTGAAAGCAATTTTATAGGCCAGATATAATGAGAGTTCCAAATCTCATGAATTAAAACACTTCTTGTCAAGTCAGTGCTCTTCGTTTCTGTTCACAGCTGTGATCAAGATATTGCTACAGTTCCTGAGTATATTTTGCAACAGGCCAAAAATAGTTCACACAGCACAAGAATATTTGTCATTTTAAGAAAGTAAACTGTTTAAGCAGTATTATTTCATATGTGTAGCCTTTCAGTTCATTTTGCTCCTTGTCTCCAAAGGAGTAAATGCAAGACTAAGCAAATGAAGCTTAGTATTAATTTAATGAAATCATGTTTCATACCACCTCTAAATAGATTTTATAAAATGAAGCATTTACAAATTAATGTCCCATAAATATAATCCCCACAGTGAAGGGACATTCATAGCAACAGAGAGAAACATGGAAGTTTGGGGTGCAGGATGGAGGACAAACATTAGGCCGGGTTTTAAGTTGACTGGTCACAGTAGAACTTTCATGCTAATGTTATCACAAAAGTTTTAGAATCTAAACAAATAATTTTATAGCCAGCTTGGGCTACAGCATTCAAACTTCACTCAAACAGGACATTATCATGGTGGTGAGAAACTGTTGGCAATCTGAAGATAATTAGTATGTCATCAAGTACAGATATACACTCGAAATAATTTGAAATTGTTAATCAAAATTGAAATGCTAAAAATATATTTTAAAATAATTTTGAAAAAAAATTTTAACAAGTAGCTGATGATAATATATTTCTTGAATAATTGCAGTGTTGAAGAGTGAACAAAAATATGTATTAAAACCCCACAATTTGAGTTTGCTAAATGAGAAAATCTGCTGGAAATCATTTAAAAACAGCAGCAGCAGGACTCAGATGACTGCCTGTAGAATACAATAATCTCAGTTTCTCAGTAAATGTAACACATTGTAATAGCTGGAATTACATTTCTAATACACTTGCCTAATTCAACAGATTACAAATTAATCATAATTGTCGAAACAATAAACATTCTTCAACTCTATTTAATTTTAAAATTAAACCATAGACATAGCATTTGTATTTTTAATGTAGGGATCATAGAAAGTATTTTGTTTGTTTGTGGGGCTTTTTTTGTGGGTTTTTTTTGGTGGTTTTTTTTTTTTGGGGGGTTTTTTGGTGTTTGGTTTGGGGTTTTTTTTTGTGCTGAAAAGTGATTTTTAGAGTGTGCAAGTGAGTTTCTGGTAAGAGTGTTGACAAATGGTGCTTTGGACTTCTTAATGTGAAGTTTCTGGTGAAGATGTATTATCGTTTAGTCTGAGGTGGAATGTATACTTTGTAGTGAACTGTGTAAAAAGAGTTATCTAATGTGCCTTTTTCAGTAATTTTTCAAAATATTGGACCTCTTTTTTCTCCCACTCTTCAATACATACAATATAGTCTAAACTAATTGATCTGTTTCATCTTGGTAAAGTGGGAATGGACTGTGCAGTTTAGGCAGTTTGGTGATAGCACTTAGTATTCTTCTGGAGTATGTACACAGACACACAGGCTCAGCTACAGCAAAGACACAGTTCAGTATGTAGCAGCCAGCCTCATGCAAGTGTGGTCACTCCATCTGCATATAGGGAGGGTTAAAACAAATTTTGAGGGGACATTCCTTCATATGAAATTGAGGTTATTCTCTATTGCTTAGACACTGTTGCATTTCAGACTTGAGAAGTCACTAGCAGCTGTCAGCACACACAAATTTTATGTGATTTTTACAAATGTTTGTTCTGAGGCAAGTGTAAGAGAAGGCTTTTTGTTTTGAAAAATAAAGGCCAAATTAGTATGGCTATAAATTGTCCCTTTGTTTAGAAATGGTAATTGAAACTTTATATAAATACTTTTGCCATTACAGTAGAGACTTCACATTCAAACTATGCAATATCTGTGTTTGTGTAATTTTAAAAATACTCTGCAATGAATTGTGTTTGCCATAAAAAGATATTTGGAATAATAAGGAAACTACAGCAAGTGGCCAATTTGCTGATGTATGTACAACAATGGAAATAGACAAAACTCGGTCAGATTTTATCTGGTGATGCTGGTCTTGAAGTCTTACCATCTCCTAGAGCAGACACTAAGGCATTTTTTTCAGAGTGAGAGGGAGGAAATTTTGAAAGGTGTTTGTTTAAATTCTGTGTAATTAAGCTATTAATATGCATACATTTAGCTGTTGAAAATTACTTTTCCTTGCCTAAAATAGAGGAAAAGCTACAATTTAAAAAATACATGGCATTAGAAAAAATGTAAAAATAAACTAATTAATAAAGAGTATTAGTGCCATCTGAAAAATATACTGACTTATGGGAAGATTTTCCTGA